ACTGACCAGTCTAATGGACTATGCCACAAGATCTCTCTCCCCTCCACAACACCATCCAACCAAAGTCACTCCTCTCGCTCAATTTTCAATCTTCCTCTCCTGCAGACTCTGGCCATAACCCATAAATGTGGTGTGTGGCTCTGAGAAGAGCTTAGGTTCCATTACCGACAGCCCACACAGCTTTATGACCGTTTAAGCTCCTCGATTTGGGTTCCTCCCATTCTGATGTTCCCGCAGACCCCCAGTGTGTTGTCTGAGCAGACAGAGGAAAAAAACACTTATTAAGATCATTATTACCGAGACAGTTTGAGCTCTCACTGCTGAAAATGCAATTTTAACACTCACAGCAATGAACAATAATACAGTAAAAACAACGCAACCGTGTGCCAGTTTGTATGTGTGTGCCAATCTTTGCAAATTAGCATAAATTAACATTTTTGGCTGCTTCTCGTGTTCAGTCACATTATTAGTGAAATGTTATATTTTCTACATAACTATCTAACTTAAACGGACAATAATATGCACCTGTCATACAGATCTGACTTTGTGAAAAGCAGATTAGCACCCGGTTAGGAAGGAAGCTTACTGTTCAAATGACCTTTCAAGAAAGAAACAGATTTTTTCAAGCTGAGTATCTTAGATATAAAGTGTTCCGTAATATCCATTACTGGTCCGTGGTCCAGTGGCAGTGTTATTGCCATTTCTGAACTTCAAGCACTGTAAAGAGTCTTATAATACAAAATGTTTGTTAAATAGCCGATAGAGAAGCTATAATCTTTTAATGTTGAATTTTATAGCTTTACCACGCTCTGTCGTTCTTGTGGATATTGTAATATTGCATTTTTACTGGTTATTCATCTGTTAATGTTCCAGTTACTAAGTTTTATACGCTTCCTTATAATTTTTTGTATTCTCTCACACTGTTAAACACACAGAGAAAGTTTTCTCTGTGAAGTTTATGTGTCTCTGATCTCTTTTCTGACTGGACCAAAGTCTCTTGAGGAGAGCACACTGAGGTGACACCATGTTTGCTAAGAAAAAATCTATATATCTGTAACAGTAAAAGAGAAAATTTTGTTTTGAATTGGGTAGCTGAAAAACAGCATGTCCATGAACCATCTATTAAAAAAATGACAATAGGAATTAATAAATGAATCCACACTATTGTGCTGTTTATGCCTTAATACCCCCCACCTTCTCTCTGTGTGTGTGTGTGTGTGTGTGATGGAAAGACAAATGTAATTTTGCAAATGCCTAAATGTATCGGGTGTTTTAAACCTGCTAACAATAGCCTTGTTACTATGCAAATATATTTAAATTAACTAAGCAATTAATCGATTTTCGGTGTTTCCAATGCTAAAGTTCACGAGGAGGGGACATTTCTGGGCATCTAAACTTCATGATGTCTTTCCATACATGCATAATTTCTATAACAAAATTATTATAAATAGCCTAATATCACAACAATTTAGCCATTTCTACTCAATCACGAACCAATTAAGTACGTTTCCTGAAAATACACTTGAGTTTTCAAGTAAAAGTTAAAATATAAATTAAATACATTCCAGTGTCTGTGATATATGATGATTTAAATATGAATATCCATCGTTGTGAGTCAAACACTGAGAACCAGTCAAATCTCGCTTTTTCGTGTTCTTCGATTTTTATTTTATTTCTTTTCCTTTTATCAATTCGTAGTTCATTGGAGCAGGGTTGCTTCCTCTTTTTGTTGTCGCCTAAACCGTTTAGTTTTGGATGATTGGTCAAAGATTCTGACAACCAGCGGGGAGACGCGCGACGCCCAGCCGGGGAGGGAGAGCAGGAGGCCGGACACATCTACTGGGCTGCATCGGTGAGACGCACCATTAGACAAGGGGGAGCCATGCCTCACAGCGCTGGTCGATCAGGTAAGGATCTCTCCCTCTGCCTCATACTAATGTCAATGTTTGTTTGCAGGTATGTCGGTCGCGCTGTGAGAGACACAAGTGTGTGGAGGCTGCAGCGCTCTGCTTATGTACCTGGACTGTTTTTAAATAATTAAACAAAGCTTGCATCTCTTTTACTACCATACTGTGCGAAGACTACGTGTTATACTTCAGGTTTTTATTGTTCAACGTCAGAAATCAAGGAAATCAGGAAATTAGATGTATTATTATTATTATTATCATTATTATTATCGTTGCATATGATCGTTTATTAGTCTATTAACTACCTATATGCTTGGGGCTGTAATTGAAAACATAGATCATAATCTAATTCACCTCTCAGTTTTGGGTTTAGATGGGAAGATCAATGTGAAACAGTTGTAATCATCTAATTAATTATGGCAAAATTAAAAGCAAGTACAAAATCAATCTGTAGTGGTGTCGAGGGTAGAGTCAAATTGATATCCATCTGCTCCCCTTATAAAGCACATGAATAAGCAATCTAAGGATGCAGCTGATATCCTGCAGTTTGGCATAGCCTACCCATATGGCTTTGGGGGGTCAGGAGACACCAGATCATTGTGGTGGCTCCCAGTATGATGCTGGTGTTTGGACTAATGGGAGAAGTAGGTCCATGGGAAATGTGTGCAGAATTAGATATGTGACGTTTTGTCTGCAACATAATAAAATTAGGCTTTACACATGTCAAACTCGAGAGTTTAGAGGTTCCTATAGCTTTGGGTACTTTACTGACACCTGGATGCCCTCGTTAGGATAATAATGTATTTTTTCTGCATGGGGTTTATACTTTAGTAGGACAAACGGAGACTGCTTATATTTTTAAAATGCTGATGAAATCAAGGTAATCTGTTAGTACTAAAACCAATCAGCCATCGTTTATTTACAAATGATTGCATTTATAAGTATGAATCTAAAGTTAGCAAGGGTTACACTCAAAGTAAAACTTGCAGAAGGCTCCACCACAGGAGTGATTCTAAATCTTAGGTGAGACAACTTTAGGGGTGCAAAATATTCCAAACCCCCATCTGGGGGGACACGCAAGAAAGACGCATGAAGGGAGATACAAACAACATTATCGACTGTTGACATGAACGCGCATTGCAGGCCATATATTTAAAAAAAAAAAAAAAAATTTTTTTGTTGTGGAAGTTTATCATCCTCCCCTCCGTCTCTGTCTTTCTCGTTTCTGTCCTTCTACTTCAATATTCTTAGTAGAATACCAGTAAGGACAGATTATTATTATTATTATTATGTTAATCTGTTTTAGGTGAAGGGAAATATGTAACAGAAGACAAGCCTAAAAGATCTGTTATGGACTGTTTAACCTCTGCTGATATCAATAAAATGCATTATGTTTAGAAAGCTGGAACGTTTTCGTAATTATTTCAAGTGTCGGACTTCTATTAAATCAACTGTTCTTACAGTGGGTGACAACTGTGCAGATGCTTTTTATTGTATAATGCAGGCAAAAAATCGAAAACAATAATAGCATTAGGCCCTTGGTGGCTGGAGTTTTAAAAGGGGTGAAGTCAGGACTAACAGTTTCTTAATTATCACGCAGTTTTGTTTTGCTGTGGTGCTGTGACACGGGGACGTCATCGAAGCAGCGCAGAGAGGTACGGGGGCAAATCTGGATGTTGTGGGGAAATAGCAGCAGCTTTAGGGCAAAAGTGCACTGACGTGTGAAATTACAGCCCATGGTGCTACATATTGTACTAGAAGCCCCCCCTGGACGCAACATGAAATCTTGTGCATTGAAGTCTGCATAGCCTATTACTATTATTAGTATTAGTATTAGTATTAGTAATATTATTATTATTAACCACAGTCCCAAGCACCAAATACATCCAATGAAAAGAGATCGCAGCTTTGGACAATATTTCACCACAGTATAGCACCCCACACGAAACAAACACTGCGCTAATAGAAATCTATAGGCTCTATACAAAATTATTTTGACACTTTTTTTGCTAGAAAAGCTGCAGCTACCTGCAGGTAAATTGCAGTTAGACATGCAGACGTCAATGGTAACTTCATGCTAAAGTCCATGTAATTGAGCACTTTTTAAATCTATTAATCTTGTTTTTCTCTGGGGTTTTTTTCCGGATTGATTTCGACTAGAACAAATTAAAAGTGCATAGTTCAGCTACAGTAGACTTATCATTGACCTCTGACCCAGGCAACCTCAGCAGCATCAGCCTGCCTGTCCCCTCCGAGCACAGCGGGCTGTGTAACCTTCTGTATGAGCGCCATCTACAGAGCGATGCTGCACACGGGCAGTGAGTGCACGATGGCCTACTGACTGACTGCAGGCTGCGAGCTCACCTTGCACACCTGTTTGGCCACACACCACTAACTTGACTGTCTTCATGCTGCGCTCACAAAATCCAAAGACTTTTTGAATTCCTCTATTTTAGGGTATTTTTTTACGCACAGCAAGCTAAAAAAAGGAATGCAACGAAAAGCTTGGGGTGACATAGAGTAAAGTCACACCACGTAGAAGGGATTTTATTGTAAAACCGCATCCTCTTTAGCTATATTGAGATGGTGCACTTTGAACTAGAGCCTCGGCGGGTCACTGGGACGCTAGTGGCTCAGAACCTTTCACTAGCCAGCAGCAAAAATAAAACTATGATTCCTATCTGAACACCTTGTTTTACTCGTTCGATATCGCTTTAAAATGTTGGCGTAAAAACAAGAATCATGTGCGCATTCCTGAGCCTCACTCTCATCGTGCGGTTCTGTGGGGAGTCCTGAAAACATTTCAACATCATACACCAGCCTGACAGTGCTTTACCTCTCCTCTACCTCGTGCCTTTAATTTCCTTGATTCTTCACCCCAAAGTCTAATCATGTCCCATTTTATCTCCCTCCCCTTCCTGACTGTCGGATGCAGGGACCTCCTCATTTCAGCTGCAGGTTTTTACGTGGGCGAATCACAAAGTGTTGGAATCTATTGCCTTTGTCTGACAAGTCATCCATCTCTATGCGAGGGGATCTGTGGGATGGAAGGTAGGAGGGTGGGGGTGGGGTGGGCAGGGAGAAGGGTTTCATTCTCAGCCCAAAGCTTCGCTCAGGCACAGCCCATTTTGGAGGAGCGGGGGACGCACAGCGACTTCGCCTTGTCCGTGTTGTTGTCATCTCCGCCCCTATCTGGTTAAACCACAGAGCCCGCTGGTCCTCCACGTCGTGAAAGGAGAGGGATATTTCGGCCGCAGATTCCCGAGTGGACCCGTTATGACTTCAGCTACTCCTCTTTTTCCTTCATGATGTCTTTTAAACACTGACCCGATTTGAGCCAATGTTGCTGCGACTGGTGCGCTCTGCACACGCGTGGGTCATGCTCTGCACCTGACAGCCCCTCTGCAGACTTTTGAGTTTAGACTTGAACAGGAGGAAAACTTGACGTCGCCCTAACAAGTTATCCACTGCTGCAGCCTGCGGACGCCCCCCACACGGACTGTTTTACACCAAAATACAAATCTTTCTCTCTTTCTTTTTTTTTTTACTCATTTAAAGCTGCATCACCGAGGCGAAACGGCGACCTCAGTCGATTACCTTTCTTTCCTTTGCTATCCCATGGATATTCACTGCAAAGCAGACCCCTTCTCAGCGATGCACCGTGAGTACTGAATTAGTTTCTAGACAAAACCACGTATGTTTTCACTTTACTCCCTGCACAAAAGATATCCAAGTCATACAGTGGCTGCGGTGTAATTTACACAGAAATCATAGCTAGAAATATTAAATTGTGCTTTGGTTGTTTCCCCCCAGTCCATTAAGGCTTATTATTTGCCAATGTTTTTGTATTGTGCTGAAGATGACTACAGCTTTAATTTTACATAGTTTAAAATATAATTATTCGCGTCACTCGTAATATTATTAAAATGTGAATAAAACACCGAGAAGACAGTGAATAATGGCTTCTCTCGTGTTTAAAACGGGGATATTTATTTTTATTCTTTTGCGGTATAAAGCTTTAATCCAACAAATGTTAATAGAAACTGGAAAACGTGAGCTGGTTTATGTTACATTTCCAGTTAGGTGTGAAAATAGAAACTCCTCAATTTAAATACAAAGGTTTTATTAACTGCGAAAAGATACTTTAGAAGGAATAGAGCACGTTGTGTGTAAATGGTTGTAAACACTTGTTTACCACCTCTCACTTTAGATTTAGGAGGTAGAGCATAAAACTCACCGTAAACACCGTCAGTTTTTGTGGCTGCTCCTTTTCTTCATGTTTTCATCCATATGATATGCGTAAAGAAGACCCGGGCTGTGCGTAAATTATTTATTCTTCTTCATTCGCACCATCCGCGTTTGTAATATGAGTTATCAAAGCTCATTTTAATTATTTAAAGTAATTGTGCAAGGAAAATTAAACAGGTTGAAACATAATATCAGCGACATGTGTTAAGCTGCAGTGGAAGAGATGCTCCTGGAAAATGTGGGCTATCCGGGCCAGTGTACAGAGAAGGAAGAGTTACTGTTGCATTTATTGTCGAGTGAGGAGTTTTTATTGTTACTATAGTTAATGATGTTTCTTATAATCTTATTTACTGTATTTGAAAGCAACACAGTACCCAAACTTAACTCTTTTTACTTTTTGGCTGCCTCACTTTTTAATGTAACATTATTTTTATTATTATTATTATTATTATTGTTGCCACTACATTGGTAAATATATTTTATTTTATTTATTTATTTATTTATTCTTTGGCTAAAATTAAATTGTGCGTTCCTGTGTGCGTCTATGTCTTTGTATAAATGTAAATTACACTGTATGCTCTATGTGTATGTTAATGCGCTGCATTTTAAACGTTTAGGCTGAAAATGCATCTCCTTGTTCTCTGCCACCAAATAATAGAAAGCAGATGAACCCATATAAAGAACAGCCGTGCCTTCTGCAGGTATGTAATGTTATGCTCCCCCTGTGCTGCTGTTGTATCCCACGCAGGGCACGGCGGTGTGAACCAGCTCGGCGGGGTGTTTGTCAACGGCAGACCCCTCCCGGACGTGGTGAGGCAGCGGATCGTAGAGCTGGCCCACCAGGGCGTCCGGCCCTGCGACATCTCCAGACAGCTACGGGTCAGTCACGGCTGTGTCAGCAAAATCCTCGGCAGGTAAAAGGGGGGATCCACTACCAACAGAGCCTATGTGTGTCAAACATCAATCTTCTATAGCTCCTGTATGCGCACCCAGCTCTATTTCAGCCTCGGTCATCGGTTATATAGGCAGGTCATTTTTCCTTCCTTTCTCTTTTCTATCTTTCTCTCTTTTCTTGAACACAGCAGTTCTGCGTCCGAGATTTTCTATCAATCACCTGCAGCCTCGCAAAAAACAACAACAAAAAAAATCATAATCATGAAAAAAAATGACGTTTACAGCTAAACATAAAAAAACATCCCAGAGGAATATGAGGCTGCATTAATATTACAGAGGACTGTAGATGAAAAAGAAGAGAGATCACTTGAAAACTGACCTTTCAGTTTAACAAATGTGAATATAGTAAATTAAGAAAATCAGCACAGTCTACAGCCACAGCAGACTCACCTTTCAGCATAATAATCTATTGCCAAAACATCATAAACTCATTCTTTGCGTTCCCATATTTTTTCATCAGTGTAAAAGTCACTCTAAACCTGAGAAATTGGTCTATATCATTTTACGTCAGAGCACAATGCTGTGAGATAATATTTTGAAATATATTTTTTCCAGCTATCAGAAGGCATTTCAGAGGTATTTCATTTCACACACACTGAATGTTTGTCACCAACATTTACCAATAGGTTATGGTGGCATGTCGTGCATGCTACTTTAAGCTCATGGAGACTGGAAGTACGGTGTGAACTGTGCTATTGCAGCTAAACTGTCCTTTGTTCTGTCCGTCTCACTGCTTATATTGTGTGATTTTGATTACACCTCTTTTCGTTGACAATCCGTTGTGTTTACCTTCCAGCTGACACTCAGTCAGGCCCATATAACAGTACATTTCCAGGCCAATTAATAGATTAAAGCCGCCATCATATTTGTAGGTAACATGAAGATTTGAAGAGATTTGTTTTCACGCAAACGAGTTTTAAGCCACCTTTCTCATCAATCAGACGACTGATTGGATGCTTGAATTCAGGAGGGATCCGTTCAGGAACGCTCACTCTGTCCCCATGCAGGTACTATGAAACCGGCAGTATTAAACCCGGAGTCATTGGCGGCTCCAAACCTAAAGTTGCAACTCCGAAAGTGGTGGATAAAATTGCAGAATATAAACGCCAGAACCCGACCATGTTCGCTTGGGAGATACGGGACCGGCTATTGGCTGAGGGGGTCTGCGACAACGACACAGTCCCCAGCGTTTCCTCCATCAACAGGTAGGTGGAAACAGTTTTAATTTTATTGTTTAAACCAAGCATGTCAAATTGTAAAGGTCTTTCTGAAATTTTCATATTTATCTTTAAATGTGTGAAGACCTACAAAAGGAGAATCAGAGGAAAAACCTCAGATATTTGCCATGCGTAAATAAGCTCTTAAATAAATAGATATCTATTTTACCTTCACGTATTATTCGGGGTGGTCTCACAAGCGCAATTCAATCCGCTGTGCGGCCCTTCACAGCACAGCCAGCTCGGGAGCTGAGTCTGGGGCCATGCGCAAAGATTCACATCTGTCTCGATAAAAACCGATCAATACTGCGTAACCAGATCCAGCGGCAGAGGGAAATACCCAACAAAGTCGTTCAATACGAGCACCACACTGCGACAGAGGCGACAGCAGCCTTTTTATTGGCAACCAATTGCTCGGTTTTCCAACACCGAAGTGAATATGGAGCGACAGCAGATCACACATTTATGATTTTAGTGTGGTTGGACAGTTGTAAACGATGCCGGGTTTAACCACGCATTCTTCTCATTATTATTGGGTTATTTTTTATTCATTTTCATCGATGAATAAATCTAATAAAGTGTTGATCTGGACTATAAAAGAGGTTTTGTTCCACTGCAGCAGCGAAAGCAGCAGACACCCTACACCTCCACCTTTCCACATGAAACGGAACAGCAGTGGACAAAGTATCATTAGACAGAGGACGCCTGCGAAAAGCCCCAGTACATGTGTGCGAAGTGAAAAAAGCCCCATAGTGCCTGCCAGTGATGAACTTTGGTTAGGAGGCACTGTTCCAGAGAGCTAGTCATCGGCATTACATTTTAATGAGTTGAAGAGAGTCTCATAACATCCAGCTAAATGCAGGAGATGGATGAACCTTTTAAGATAAGAGAAAGACTTAAAAAAAAATAAAATTAGGCTATCATAGAAATTAGGGTTTCAACAGGCCTTTTAGCACTAGTCTGTTTTCACCTGTTGGTCATGAAATCAAGGATAATGTATTCACTGGTTTGTTTTTGATATTTTTATTATAACAAGTCCCTGCTGATAGGTTAAGATTGAGCTATGGCAGAATTACTGGTATCTATGTTAGTGTCCTTTAAAACTAAGTTGGCCTGCGCATTAATAATTAACATCAGACCTTCTGGCAATGCACAAATCAGCATTTTTAAAAATCTCTTTCTTAAAGCATGGCCTCACAAATCACACTAAGAAAATCTGTATAGGTTTCACTGTTGATTTTTTTTCCCCTACGCAAGTAGGAATACATCAGCACTGACCAAAGGTTAATTGATATTTATTTTACAGCAGTGAGAAGAAGTAGAGGAGTATTTTTGAAATGGAAAATCTAACCTTAACTCCATTCATAGTTCCCTGCATTTTTCACTTCACAGGCTATTTTAAAATATTGTCTAAAGTTCTGGATGTCCTTTAAGAGGGGATTAGGAAAGAGAGTGAACAAGTGAAGAGGCAGGCGGAGGAGGAGAAAGAGACAGTGGACCCCTGGTGGTCTCTGTGGTTAAGGGGCTGACCTCTGCTCTGTTAACTAAAGAGGATGTCCTGGCTTTAAACACATTTTCCTGCATGAATTATTAAAGATTACACAGATACTGGGTTGCACTTTGTTTTGTTGCTGCGGAAAGGAGTTTCCACTTGCTGCACCTTGCCCCATGGAGAGACATGCACCCATAAGGTCTTAAGTGACTTTCAATCATATTGATCCATGTGTTAATATTTCTTTGGGGATATTTTTTAACAACAGCCAAACACCACAGTCGTTAATTTGCTCATCCGAATTGCTTATTCAATATCAACAACACAGACTACAACAGAGACTCCAAACAAAGTCCTTGAATTTATGAGGTTCCCTCGAGTCATGAGGTCAGATAACTGTTGTGGTGAGATGTTAGAAATTCAAATAAAATATTGATATGTGTTTACTGGAGAGGGCTGATAGACTTTGTTACCCTGTCTGAAGGACAAAGTGTGGAGGACACATGAGGTAGTGAGGAGAATGAAACTAATCTGATGTACATTTTTGCCCCTGAGGAAGTTAACTCCACAGCTGCTTGAATCAGAACTGATAGCTTATTGCTGGATGTAGCGTGCGCACGTGGACGTCATCTGGCTCATCTGCAGCCTGTAAAAGTCTGTTTTTGTCACACATCTCGAGTGAGAGGTGTGGGATTTCTGTCAGTACACAAGGCCGCTTGTTGTTCAATGATTTCCTGTTCTTATGTCAATCAAAATATTACCATAGTTAATGTGATAAGAGTATGTCCCATAAGAGCTAAAGCTATGCTTGTGATCTCCACTGTACCTTTCTGTTGTGCTAAAAGAATTACAATAATCCTCAAGTGTTCAAATGTAACATTATATGTAAGGCCTCTATTTTTTGTTACCTTTAATGTTAATGGTCTTAGGTTGGCCCAGTAAGACACTATTGCTTTCCAGTCACACATAATTTATAGATCACCATTTGCATTTGTAGTTCCTCACTGCCATTCGTCTTCAGCTCTTCTAACCTGGAGTCCCAGTCAATAGGCTCTGATCCTCAGTGAGTCCGTAGGATTCCTGTGTGCTACACTAAGAAACAAAAAGACCCAGAAAACTTATGCCGGACAGAGAGAGGTAACAGAAAAATAGAGTAAGAAATAAAGGTATGATTTGGAGAAGAGTAAAGAGAGAAAGGAAAGAAAGATGTGATGAGTGTGAAAAACAGAGATTGTGAGGTACAGTAAAACAGGCAACGCATTGGACAGTAGAAATAAGAAAAGTAGATGTGGGAGTGAGAGGAGCTAAAGATCAGGTTTGAGAGATGGAGAGAGAAAAGCAGGAGAGGTAGATTATTAGAGTTGGCCAGGTAGAGCCAGTGAAGCTGATCATTGAGGTGAATTGATGTGATTTCATGCTTTGTTTGCAAGATCATTCAGACCAAAGTGCAATGAAGACTTTCCCGCCACATCACATCTTACTGGTATGGGGACTTTATCATATTTCTAACCTCAGAATCCAACTAGATTGAATTCACAATCTCAGGGGGCAACCCCTATTCAGCCTCACACAGAAGCAGAGCGATTGCCCCTGAAGCCCTGGGATTGGCTATTTGTGACAGGGGCCTGAATATAGGTAGACAAGTGCCCCAAACGATGGAGCACTTGTACATGCACGGGCGTAAGGGAACTTGATGTGCTGTGTTTAAGTGTACCGGGGCAACCGTGCCAGTGTGAAATCTCCATGCTCTGGGAGACGTATTGATTGATCCGTGTCTGTTGTTCACTTTGCCAGAATTATCCGCACCAAAGTCCAGCAGCAGTTCCACCCTTCCCCTGACGGATCTGTTACGCCACTTTCCACGCCTGGCCACACTATAGGTGAGAGTGAATGGGGCTACACAAGCACAGTCAAATGAGCCAGTCAGGGCAAACAAGAAGAAAGTGGAGTAAAAACACCTAAACATGAACACATAGTACATGCATTTACCCATTCTGAATAACATGCACCACAGTCATGCAAAGACTCACTCATATACTGTACACACTCAAAATCAGCTTTCTCCATCAGTACCCAGCACAGCCTCCCCCCCTGTGACCAGCGCCTCCAACGATCCCGTAGGATCCTATTCCATCAACGGCATTCTGGGTATCCCCCGCTCCAATGGCGAGAAGAGGAAACGAGAAGATGGTAAGGGAGACACAAGATCCCTTTGTTTTCTGTCCTTTTAATTCTCTACATCGCTCGTCTCCTACTTTTTTGCTGTGTGAAGAAGATGGCATTTATGACAGCACTGAAGCCAAATGTGTTTCTGTGTGCTGTCTCCAGTGACTTGTTATGTTGTATATCAGGCAGGGGCGAATGTTGAGAGAGTGTTGTGATTCAATCAGCTTTTTGATGCTCTATGTTTTACCATACGCCTACAGAGCTGCATCTCAATTTTATACCATCCTCAGACATTCTGTAGATATCCCATATAACTGTCATACAACTCTAATCCCCCTTGGCAAGGCATCAGCTCTGCTGCTCCTTGCTTTCATTTCTATAGCGTAACAAAAGTCAGAAAAAGAAGCTCTTTTGTGATTCTCTGCCTTGATACGATCAGTTAACCACCAGTAATTTAATATTCTGTACTATACAGCTATATAAATACATTTGGACAGAATTTTATTTTATTCTGCGGTGCTCAACAGCATTAAAATATTCAATACTAAAGTATTTTTGTAAAACTTAGACTGTGTGTTATACCATGGAACTGGCAAGAAAATAGACTTAGATACACTCAAAGATTAAGTGGAAGCCTATCCGGTCCAAGCCAGAATTTCTCATTCCTAGGCAAGGCAAGAGAATGGACGCACACCGCCTGAGGGCTAATAGATTATCGGTTGAGCAAACAATTGGCTTTTTTAATGCCTATGAATTAACATGTCCCTGGTGGAGGCCTGAACAGGTGTAGGAACAGACCGGTGGAGGCAGGGAGGGGGCTACATGTGTGCCTGTGTGTGTGCTTGTGAGTCTGTGGTACTGCTGTGAGGTGGCTGATGGGGTGATATGGTTGAAAATGATCTCAAAGAGCACTCATCAAAACAGGCCACTTCCTTCTTTTATGTTTCTGTCTCTTTAGTTCTCTGGAGTGGCAACCACTTGGATGGAAGGAAAATAGGATATTGTAAGTTGAAGTTAGACAACCTTCTCTTTTGTTTTGGTCAATCAGATCACACCACTTTCCTGTCAATTACTGTTCTTGCTTTTTCAGGGTTATGAGCTTAAGGGGACGAGGCTGGGAAGATTTTTTTTCCCAATAAATAACCTCCAGAGGAGTTAAACTGGCATGCATTTCGTTGTACAATGTACAATGACAATAAAGTTAAAGTTAAGTTATACAGTAATGTGTAGTGTAGCTTTGTAGAACTGTTATCAGGCAAAGAAAGCTGTGGATTTTCAACAACAAGATGCAGTTTATTGTAATCTAAAATGAAATTTTAATGGTTCTCAACTTGGCATTTCCATGAAATTTGACTGCTGACCTACAGCAGCTCTTGTGTTGAGTTACTTGCGGTAATTTTCAATTGCCCACATAGTTTTAAAACAATTTTATCATTGCTGTTACAGTAAAAAGCAAAGCTAGAGGGACAGTCTCAGCTGCAGCAAACCTGTATATAAGAACATGACCTGTCTATCTGAACTATCTCACAGCAATATGTTTCCTGCTAACATGTTAGCACAGTACTTTGCAGACAACTCAGTAAATACAAGTGAAAAAGTGAATAAAATAACAAGGGGAGACCTAGTTTTCAAATATTAAATATTTTTAAACATCACTCACTAGCCTTTGTTGCATGTCTATAATCTAAAGGAAAGTTTTCAGCTTGAACGCTTCACATGTTTGTTATAACTGGACCATGATGAAAAAAGCACTGCAGTCCTTGTACTGCTGGTGTTGTGATGGTAGTGGCATGAGATCCCGGTGTGGCTGAAGTCAGCAACTGCCCTTTGAGGAAGAAGGGTCCCCATTACTGGAGGGCTGTAGAGATAATGTAGTGTGACATGCATTACGTATACGGGGTCCCCGTAAGATGAGCTTCAGGGACATAGGTGCCAAAAGAGCCATTAATCTGTCCTTGTCATGTGTTATGGCAAATTAAAAATAGCATGTTACACTGGACAGCTTCAAGTGAAAGGAGGAAACAGAGACAGGAGCAGAGGAATGTCAGAAAAAAGCTTGGTTTATAAGGGGAGGAGGGAAGAACGTGGAGGTCCTGGCAGCTTCAATGAGAGTTGAGCAAGAATTAGTCTTAGAACTTGTGCACGTGTATATATGCACCTATGTGTGTAGTGCACGTGTCTGTTTGTAACTCTGTGGCTTCAGTTGCTCCTTACATGGTGAACATGGTGACATTTAAAAGAATTTGCAATTCTGCAGAGAAAAGCCATTAATTCACAAATTAACATCTCTCCCTTCTCCCTCCCTCTATCTTGGATGTACAAGCTATTGAAAAGACAAAAGAAATAGCCTTAAGGGAGGAAAAGAGAGAGTTTCAGCCCTTTTTCTGTGGAGAGATTGGTTTGCATGTCTGCAAGCAGCGATACCAATTATGCCAGTGCTGGGAGAATGTGTCTCAATGCGCCACCTCCTTTGCCCCCCATCTCCCACCACCATCACCACCACCCCACCCCGAATCTATCCATAGCCAGATTTATTTGTGTATCTCATTACAGGAAATGGAATGTTGTTCCTGCCAAATGCATTAATAGTGAGGTGGGGAAATTAGCCTGTTGTACTGCATGCTCTCACTCAGTCATTTAAACCTATGGTGGAAGTGGAAGCCAAGAAAAGACAGAGAGGACTGGGTGACAACTGCTTTGTGATTGTCAAAACTGTATGAAAGTGTGAACTCATTTAAAAAGGCTGAGCTTCATGATGATTATGAGCTAATTATTATGTGAGATGTACCTGCTCTCATTTGTTTTCTATTTAAAGGAAATGTTTTGGTTTTTTTCACCAGAGGTGCAGCTTTATGTAAATTCAGTGTTTTCGTGGTCTTAGCACACAGTGACAGGTTACTCCTGACCTTGCTGCTGTATGCAGTCAGGTTGATGTGACCTAACTGTATGTTTCTCATTGCTGACTTACCATGTCCTGGATGTAGCCCAGTGGAGCTCTGGAGGAGGAGGAGGACAGGCAGTAGGGAGCTACAGTGATAAATTAGATGGAGAAAGAAAAGGTCATAACTTGTGATTGTAGCATGGGGGTGAGATGTGTGTAGAAAGAGCAGATGAGTGAGTGAGCAGGGAGAAAAAAAATATGGCTTAGCAACTTGTTCATTCATGACATAAAAGAACGATCACGCACAGCAGCCAGAGTCATATCAACCTTGTTCAATAGCCTGAGGAAAAATGAATACAGTCGCTGTTTTGAGTTTTTCAGATTTGATATTTGGGTCTTTTGGCGATTGTCCAGTTTGTATCTTTTAACTTGTATGACCTATTTGTCGAGTTTAAATCAGTTAGTGTATGAAGTTGAACCTAGGCCTACACTGGTTGACTAGTCAAGCCAGGCCATGACAATGAGTCAATAGAGGATCACTTTAGAAAATAAATGCATCCACAGCAAGACAGAAATAAATAGAATCATGAGCACCATGATGGCCCTGATGGGGTCTGTGTGGAAGAGAAAAGCCCAGGTATGAGAGGGGCCACGGAGCGTAACATAGAGACAAGAAGCTGTTAGGGTCTCGACAGTAGGGGAGGACACAAAAGGGTCCACATTGCATGTCTCTCCTTCCTCCTTCTCTGCTCTATCTCTGTCATACTATGACTTCAGCATTTCATTTCTCCTCTTATCATTCCCAACTTTCTGAGTCTTGTGGGTTAACCATTTGCACTCAACAAATTGGCTGCATGAGACCATGTAGTTGTAAACAATATACAATGAGCTCCGTCACAAAAGTATAAGGAGAGGGAACTCACTCACTGGAGAGGAATCATGTCAGAGAAAAGTCAATTACGGGCGCCAGTGCCGAGAATTAATGGAGCGGGGCATTACTCAGCTTGAGGAGGGAGAAAAGGCAAGAGAAAAGAAGGCATACGTTAATTGGACTTCCACAAATACTCACCACACAGGGTGGCAACGCTAAACGGCAGACTGGTCCAGAGGAGGGCAGAGAAGCAAAGAGATGAATACAAAAAAAAAAGGAAAAGAAACAGGAATGGAGTCATGCTGAAGAGGAAGTGGGTGTACTGCTTTGTTCGTCCTTATTAGTAGTCCAAAAACAAACTACCAACCTTAAACTACTGTCCTCTTATTAATATTATAGACTCAAACTGGAACCAAATAGTCATGTATTTTTGTTTATTAGAAACATTCTACAAAACCCTTGATCAGAGAATGTGAATTCAAGTTAAAAAATAATAATAATACTACTAAACTACCAACTCAGCCTCAGTGCTGGCAGTGAGTGCAAATATCAAATAAGCATCACTGTGCCTGCTGACAGTCAGTACGCTGGTCGGTGGTGCTAAATTGAATTAATAAAGCTCTTAAACATGCCACAACATAACAGGATCTTAACAGCCATAGCAGTGTTGCTGCCCCCTCCCCACCCCCACCCACCCAGCGCTCTCCTTTCCACTTCAGAGGTTTCATAAATATAGCTAGCTTACAGGGAAGGAGTGTTCACCCTCTGGGTATACCAGTTTGTTTGTGCTCTCTTTTTTTTACAAGCTCAACTGCATTTTTAAAAATATCAACAAACGATCCGTAATTTGCGATAGCATCATTTCACCTATCAACAGAAGACAAATAAGTGAACGGTCAACTCGCAGCCTCTGATCTAGGAAACCCCACATCACTGATTTACGAAGAGAGCTAGGCAGTGTGTAGGAATTCATTTGCCTTTCAAACAAACCCACACCTCAGTTCTCTTCTGAGTTATCTTATCACAGGGGAACAGGGGAGATGAAAGAGGGACATAAACTGCCACCATGCCACTGGAGGACATTAACGTCCCCCTTAGAGACAAAGCAAAACAGAACAGATTTTGATACACTTGTGGTCTGTGTTGCATTAGGTGCTGTCCTTTGTTAATTCTGTGTGCACAGTCATATGAGTGTGTGTGTGTGTTAGTTTGCTGAAGGCATACAGCAACATTGTTAAACAAGAAGACGAGTTACAGTTTCATGTTCGTTGGCTGAGTTTGTCTTTGGTGCTTTGAGTTGATACAAAGCTGCACAGTCCGTTTAAAATGTTTGAGTGCATCATGGTGAAATATCCAACTTTTGGACACAACAAGGTCAAACAGCATCTGTCTGCTGATCAAAGAAAGTATTTACCAGAAATTACTTTAGGGGTGATGTGTGAACGTCACTGTTGGAAAGTCTTGTTTTTTTTTTATCTCAGTTTGTCTCCTCACACGTTGATGTTAAAACAAAGAGACGCAGTCAGCTGGTGTTGTGGGAGTGATAAGAGAATACCTGCTGAGACACCTCAAGGGATTGAAGAAACAGTGAGAAAATGAAACAAGCCAGTCAATGAGGCACACACACACACGCAATTTGAGAGTCAGACTTCACACTCCACTTGACACACTGACTGTCAAAGGGTGAATCTGATTTATTGCAGTTATCTTATGATATGTGTATGTCAAACAAGAATCTCTAATGGTGAATTCTGAAACTAAATGAGTTACTGTTCTAATTCTATTTAAAGGCCATATCTGTAATTGTTGGGCCACATCATTTTGAAATATATTCACACACGTAACTGAAGAGATGAACAAATTAGGCCTGTTTCACATCAAATTTTAAACATTACTGGTTTAAACAGAATTACAAAGTGTTGCTGATATTAAAAATGGTCTTTTAATTTTGATAGTGAGACTCTTCTTTACATGTAGAAGCACACAAGAAAGTATCCTGTAATGGGAATCTATGTGCCAATTCAGAAGGTCTGATTATGTATGTTTTGCGTGTGTGTGTGTGTGTGAGGGTGGGGTGGGGGGTTGCCGAGTGCAAGCATGCTCCTTCGTAGTGAGTGACAAACACTTGCTACTGATCGATCTTGCCTCCATTCTCAGACCAGGTGATACAAGATAATTAATGACTCCATTTTCATCTGTACAACAGACAACAATGGCGTTTTATACAGCAACACTACTGCTGCTCCAGCACCAGCAACCCCAACCCTGCACCAATGGCAGCTGAAAAAAATTAGCTAAAATATTCACTTAACTGATGGAAGGAAAAACACGTGGCAGAAAAAAAATCCGATTCTGTCATAAATGTTACACAAAGCTAAAGTCAATATATTTTAGCTGTGAAACACACAGACCTTCCCATACACACCTTCCTCTCTACACATACACACACTCATACCCAATTGCAGACCTCTATTCCATTCTCTCCGTGGATCTATTTCTTGGTGCGACTTGGGTTCATCCTCTGGCCTCAGCCATTGAAAAAAGGTCAAGCAGCCGAGCAGAATGGCAATAACGCCCCTGAAATGGTACCATCAGTTGAACATGATTGATCAATTGAATTCTATAGAACAGAAAAATGTGGGATTAAGTAGAGTATTATACGCACAATGAGTTGAGGCATGATGTTCATTCCAAGTTCATTTCGCCTCCCTCCTCTGCTGGCAGATCAGGCAATCAATAGTGGCCTTGCATATCATATATCACTGCTGGCTCGCCCAGTAGAGAACATAATCTGCTGCAAATTTAGAATGACAGATTTGTACGGGAGCTAAAGCCCTCATCCGCTGTTGGTGGTGGGGTATAGGGAGGTAAGGGAGGGTGGTGGGAGGCATGCAGTGCAGTGAAGGTTTCTGGGATGTCTGCTGGAGGTTTTAGCTGCAGATTTTTTTTTCTTTAGCATTCAGGACTTGATGACTGAGGGGAGAGAGAGCTTCAGTGCTGCAGTGGGGTCCCTGGCTGTGTTGATAGGGTCAGAGAGCAGGAGAACCAAGGAAGCACAGGCTCATTTGTTTATATAGAGTGTGACCAAGTGAGGAAATGCATACGCTAGCTCTCGACACCCCGTCCTCATTCGGCCCCGAGTACCGTTGCCACTCCATTCTGTTTTCCAGAAGACAGGCAATATGTGGGGGAAGGAGGGAGAGAAAGAAAGACAGAGAGAGAGAGAAGGGTAATATATTCAGGAGGAAATAGTACAGTTAAATAATGGCTCTCCATTTCCCGCTTGGAGAATGAGAGGCTCTGTATGTGATCGCCAGCCCTACTTTCTCCTCCTGAAACACACGCTCTCCCTTACAAGTATATATTTGCACTGATGGTAATCCATCAATTACTATAGACCTATCACATGATGACTGTGCTGATGGTGGCTGCAAGGAGAGGTGGGGGGAGGAAGAGAACTGCTTGACTGAGAGTATGTGTGTGATAGGAAGAGAGAATGAAACACAGAGACGGAGATACAAAGCAGACATGCTGGTGGGTCTCCCTGAATTTACTACTGCTCCTCATGCCATCACTCTCATACCCGTTGAGCTCAAACATTTTTTTTTCCTCATGCTTATTTCACTGCTGTTATTAGCCTTATAGAATATCATCAAGTAAAAATACTGGAGCTGTGGTCTGATACAGAATGTTGTCCCTCCTCTCCATCTTTCTCTAGATGGCTCTGATGGCTCAGCCCCTGGCAGTGACTCTCAGGGCAGTGTGGAGAGTTTAAGGAAGCACCTGCGAGCAGACGCCTTCACCCAGCAGCAGCTGGAGGCCCTGGATCGTGTGTTTGAACGTCCTTCTTACCCTGATGTCTTCCCCACTTCAGAACACATCAAACCTGAACAGGTTGGTCACACTGATTTCTTTCTGCTCAATGAAATTTAAAGCCCTGCACTGACGTCTTGGTTACTTGCTTCCTATATATCCTTAAATAGTAGCAGCTAACAATAAAATAACTCAGATTTAACATTATTTAGTGAATTAAATGATAAATATTCTGACACAGGTGACAAAAAGCTCTATGCAACTTCTTGCTTAAAGCAACCTACAACCCTACAGCCTATTAGAGCAGATAAACTTTATTTACATTCATTAGTCTGTTAAACAACAAGAGACTATTAATTTTTCCAGTGGAACTCTATGTGGGTGCCCATGCTGCCTTAGCAGTGCCCTAATTGAGTTCATTTTCATCTCTGCACGATCGTGGGGAATTACAGCGGCGATAAATCAGAGGGACAGCCCCTCAGCCGGCTATACAGGCCCTAATGCAGCTAATTACCAAAGTGATTTCTACGGCAAGATCAATACGAAAACGAATTGGAAATGACTTGCAATCACAAAGAATGGAGGAGAAGGTATTAAAAAGGCGAGAGGAAGGGGGAGGAGGGGGGCGAGTAACAGCATCAGAATGGTCCAGAAAAATCAGTTTTAATTTAATGTAATATTAATCAGGCTGCTTTCCACTCTTTCTGTGCACCTCGTTTTTTTCTCCCTGCTTCCAGCAACCCCTCCTTTTCTTAAACTGGTGAAAAGGTGGGATATTAGGCCATTAGGGGCTTGTCTGGTGTCTGCGTTAGGACATTAAAAAGCCATTTTGAAGAGACCAGGCTGAATAGGCCTCATCCCTCCCACACTTCTGGCAGCCATGTGGTCAGGTCATTCAGGCCCCTCTGTGCATGCCACTCGCCCTCCGCCCAGCCCTGCCCACAGCCCATCTGCATGACAAAATGGCTCTTGTGCTGCCGAGGCCCAGCGGAATAGACAGGAACATCCAGCCCAGTGCCAGGGAACAGTTGTAAGCAGACAATTAGAGTTTATCTGGGATAGAGGCAGACAAGACTGGGGTCACCAGCTCAGCCCTGTGGGACCCCATCCCATTGAGACAAACAGATGCACACAGGAACTGTGATACAAACACTCGCACACACAAATGTGTGCACACACTTATCCTTTCAAAGAAGAGTCGGGTCAGGAAGTGTCATCTCATTAACAAACAGGATTCATCACAGCTGCTAGCAGAGTCTTAACCTGATATTAAAGTGAATAAATATTAAAGAGACTCAGTGGTGGTTGATCCTCATGCTTCTGTGTGCAGTAGACTACTGCGTTATTTGTACTAGAAACTGTAAAACATGAAAAATGGCTGTAGCACGGTACGTTTAATCGCATTTGAAAAGAAATGCAATGAAAACCTCCAATAAAAAGTAAAAATACTAATAAAATATAAAAAGCGAAAAACAATATACACTATTTTATCATTTTATTAACTTAGTTTTATGTGTTCATCCTGGAGGTATAGCACAAAGGGTGATTTTGAGGTTGTACTCCCCTTTAAAAATCCACACCACATGTCTCTCCTGTAACAAAGCCCTGAATGTCTCCTCCCTTGACTGGTCACAGGGATGACTGCAGTGGAGCACAAAGAGCCAGCTGACACCCTGTCCTTTCACTCCTCTTCCAATCTCTGTCTCATCCCTCTCTCCCTTTCTGCCTTCTCCTCAGACAAGCCCTAATGCAGGCATACATCATGAGTCTTGGTAAAGCATGGGAAGGGGTGATGGCGGTGTTCACAGAATTCACAGGAAGTATTCAGAAGGAAACACAGTCAGAGTATCACCGACAATTTCCTCAGACACACCAGAGGTTTCCTTTAGACTGATATCGTGTCCTAAGCTGGGGGTTCTTCTCTTCTTCTCTAACACTGACACCCAAAGTATGTGTCCTAAGCTGGGGGTTCTTCTCTAACACTGACACCCAAAGTAGGCAGTGATATCAAGCACATCACAACCCCAATCTGATGGAATGTGACATTGTGTGAACTGTTGTTTTTAACGTATGTGTGCACCTCTCCACTGATATCTTTGAATTTGTTTTGCCTTTGTCTACAGGCAAATGAGTACTCTCTCCCATCGCTGAACGCTGGCCTGGAGGACGTAAAACCGAGCCTCTCCACCAGCGCAAGCTCCGACCTCGCCTCCAGTGTCTCCCAGAGTTACTCTGTTGTAACAGGTACAATCTGACTCATGCTACATTGATCCCTAACAGAACACACATGCAGCCGCAGCAGGTCAAAGTCATTTGCGGCAAGGTGGATGAACTTACAGGCCTCAGTGTTCAGATCACAAACATTTAGCTTTTGCTTCTGCTGCAGTCTTTTCATATTGTTCCACCACATCCATCACTTTGATTTATCAGCTGTCCCAAACTAAACACTTACACCAGCATTCCTGATACTGTCAGCATTAACATAGGACTATCAAATTCTTCTAAACTGTCCTTTGTCTCTTAGTTTGCCTTTGTCTGTTTAAAAAAAACTTAGTAACACATTGTTCCTCTCATGTTGATCAACATGTTGAGTCAAACTGAATAAGTGCAAATCACATGCTGATTTAATTGTAGCTGGAAAGGATGGTAGCATTTACTGATTATATAAAGTGTTGTTTTACCCTCAGTTTACAGCTGTATCATACCCCTGATAATATGGATAATTACCCTTGAATTTTACTTTTACATACAGCAACTCACTGTGTGTGTTATCTTCAAGGGTGAAAGTATTAAAATGTACAACTCCACAAATTATTTTAAATGTGTTCAGCTGAAAGGACAGGGTATGGGTCAAAAATCAATTGCTTCTTATTTAAGATAATGCACAATCATTGAGTCATCAACTGGATTGTATTTTGACTTCTATTTCTTTATTATGGCTTACACATTTTACAGCAATATAAAACTCTTGTCATCAAATGAAAAAACTCTATCAAGGCACTTTTTGTGCCACTCTGTGTTTATTTCTAACTGACAGAGCCAGGTGATATATCATCTGAGCCCATTAAATCCTACAGGCCTTTCACACGCTGCTACTAACTGGCTATTGTGTTAGCGTGGATTGGCCTGCTAACAGATTGACTGGGAGCGCTTCTCATAAGAGACAGCTGCTGTTCTCGCCACTACATGACATTGTCATCAAAGGCTATGATAGCCCGTTGATTGACAGCGGCTGGAATAGCACTGTGGCTGGCTGTGTGCCTCGTGCTATGGTTAGAGAGAGAGGAAGAGGCCCAGATACCAATGAGACACAGCCAGTTAAAGAAATGCTGAAATTACAGGTTTTTTCCAACATACAAACTGGCTTCTGTTTTCATTAGTACCTTCCTCCTAAGGCTAACAGGTATTGGCAGGTGCGGTGTATTGAATGTCTTCTGGCATTAACTATCTGTATCATATAACCCACTTCGGCTTCTTTTGCTCTGCTGACCAGGTTGATGACTACCTGTTTAATTGAAATATTGTTTCGTTGTGGCTGCTGAGGCTTTTTCCCAGGAGAGGTTAGGTTTGCTGATGGCCACACTGACTCAAGAATAATATGCCTGGCTTTTAATAAAATGCCAATAATTACGCAATGGGCACCAAGTCAATGAGTCCACTGTGATGTGTGCATGTGTATGCATGTGTGTGAGAGAGAAAGTAAAGAGGAGGGCAGTATGATTGAAACCTGCAGTGGCCCTTCTCAGATGATCCCTATGGTCCAGTCCCAGACTCAGGCACAAGAAAGACCCCTTTTTATTACTGAATGTGTGGGAGGTAGATTTGCCCCAGAAAGTTGGGCCTCAGGAGAAGAAAGGTGTGTTTTTGTCTTTTATACCGGGTTCCTCCTATGAAAGCAGTCTCGCTCTGGAGAGCACTCTCATAGCAGGTGGCCTCCAAGCCACCTGGGGGCTTGTGGCCTCCTAAAGATGACATAATAAGCAAATGTACTAACAAAACTTTTAAAAAGTAGAATACGACAACATAATTTGGTATAGCCATTTCAGTATTCTGGGTGGCAAATTAAACTCAGAAGTCATATCCAGTAAACTTTTATTACTTAATTTTTACAAGTATACAAAGTATTGCATGAAACATTTGATTGGGTGTAGGTTGTTAGTGCATAATATTACTTTTTTGCCATTAGCAAAGCCTGTAAATAGGAATGTATGCCAAGGCAGAAAAAATGCTAAATTACCTTCCTCACAGAGGCTGAGATCCAATTATCAATAAATTATGCTCTCATACTAGATGGAGCCATGAGATTATATTCATTCTTTAACTGTTTTCTGCTCCCAATTAAAATTTATATAGTTATTGATCTTGTTGATTTTTATGTCCTGAAATTTACATAATCTATTAAAGAAGAAAGATTAATGAAGTACTCAGCTTTGCATTACAAGGACGCCCGCAAAAGCAATGCTGGCCATCTTTTGTGTCCTCTGTTTACCCTAATATGTGCGAGAGACAGTTACCTACTGTAGGAGAGATTCAGGGCAGTGAAACGGACCAATGGGGTTTACTATGAAGCACAGATTGTTTACAAATGATTTCTCTCCTGCACAATGAAAACCTCTAGATTTAGGAAATTTAGGAAAATTCGTTGTAATGTCATCAGTTATTAGTGAAAAAAAAGTAAGTAAAGGAGGATATTCTCTTATCTCTCTAAAGAGGAATAATGAATCTGGCTTCTTTGTAATATTTGCAGTTCAGTGGTCTGTGCACAGGCTGGGCTTGATAATCAGCAAATCCTCTGGGGATCTGGTTGTAAATGTTCACCTCCCTGGCCTACTACACCTCCAGCAGATGTGGAGATGCAATGCTTTTCCTTTTGTCTTTATATCCCTTTCATTCTCACCTTTCTATTTCTCTTTCTGCTTATGAGTGAAGCGTTATAACACTGTACAGATAAGGGGGGAGGGGTGGTTTTTATTTCAGATTAATGTAAGCTGAAATGTACACCACACTCTGAGCCTATTGTATGACTTGGCAGTACCAGCTATTCTCCGCTAACAACAAGCAGCTACCTAGCTTGCAGTGCCTGGTGTGTGGACTAGTGACAAACGGCTTGTCTCAGCTCAGTTAACGCCTGCAGGCCCGAGCTCAGAAATTAATGTTTATATCACCCCCTGCAATAGCACACTAACCTTTGAGCACACATTTGATAATGAATGACTTAAAACCTTTGGATGGGGAATTCAAGCTATTTAGCTGCGCAAATATTCTTTACTCACTCACAATTAAATGCAAACTTTGACAGATGTTCTTTTGTGTCTTTCTGGCGTAAGTGGTTATAAATTACCACTTCTAGAAGGCTGGTTAGTGATGGAAGAGTTTAAACTGTCTGGACTTGGAAAAAACATGACTGTGTCCCTGAAATTTTTAATTTATAATTCTTTGTAGACTCCTCTCCAGATGACTTTGCACAAAAGAAGGAAGTTTTGCCATAATGTTAAGTATACTGTAGAAATGAAAAAGTTCTCCGTGGTATGAATGTCAGCCTTTGAGAACCAGAGCTGTGCCAATAAGTGGTTTGCTCACTAAAGTTCCTTGGTGTACGTTTAAAGCTGAAACGCTCACTTGAGGGAAGGCTGTTGTAGCTATATTTGGATGCATCACTCACAGGACTGCTGTAGGTTCTTAACAGTCCATTTTTATGGTTGATGGGGTCTGTAGACATGTTATCAGTGGTGCAGCTGAGACAGATGTTGGAGAACTCTATAGTGTCTCCACTGTCTCAGAGATGTGTTTGCTGGTGAGAAGAGTCCCCAAGGACCTCTAGTTTATCTTCCATCTCCATCATCAGGGCCTGTGATTTGACAGACTCCCTTTACCCAGGCTCTGCCTCGTCTCCAGGACAATAAGCAGCACCATGTCTGATTAGTTTCAGAGTTCAGTGGTCTTGAACGTTGTGTTTGTACCGTTTGCTGTTGTGTTGTAACCCCCTGTCTGTCTGACAACGGTTACTCGGGCGCTGAGAAAACAGAAGCCTACAGCAGTAAGCAGAAATTCTCAGATACACTGTAAACAGGCTAGGCCCCGGATTCATGTTTGGCACCTTCAGAGTCATCCTTAAAGCTCAGGTTAATGTATTAAAGGTTATGTGACCCAGTGTCAACTTGATAGTAAAATAAGTGGTCCTAAGAATGACAATATGCTGCACTTGTCAGAGCAAGATTCACTTAACAAACAGTCTGAGGTTACACACAATCCATTTTTTTCTAAACTGTGGAATATAGTTACTGGATATTGCTTTATTGTAGAGAATAATGCTTATACTTTTACTATACAGTATGTCTTTTAATATGTATGTAGTTATTAAATTTATTTTAATCTTGGTTGCCTGTGAAATTCCTGCCAACTAGGCTTGCTTTGAATGCTGCTGTTTCAGGTATAGTACGTGTTGGATATGGTGCTTTTAAGGTGTTTCGGACCAAGGCTAACTGCTAACATCATCAGCTGTATTGTCTTATATCAATGAATGAATATTTTTTTCTGAGAGAATGGGGGTTGTTATGCACCCGAATCAACCACAGGGTAACTGGACGTGTGAAGGCTGTTTTGATTTAAATGGCTTTAATATCCTACATATTAGCCATAATTAACTGAAGAGCTGAACTGAGGGCTAGTCATTTGCAATCATTCTTAAGCAAACTGTGTTTCCAGTACATTTCTGACATATTTATACAGTGCATATGACAAAGTCTTTGGTTCACCCAATTAAATGGAAAGCCTCATTAGAATATTTCTTTTTATGTCAGATTTATGGCAACCCTTCTTTTTAATGATTTGAATATAAGTCAGAAACTTACTTATTGTGTTGTTCTCACTATAACTTTGGTATTTGTTTCAATGAAATAAAGATATGAAGGTATTTGGTGAAACTAAAATACCTTTTTCTAAATTCACATGTCCAACTGTCACAAAGACAAAAAGAGGAAGGAAGAGAGTTGGGAAACCTGTTATCGATTTCTATGGGAAAACAGTCAGTTATGTTGCCTGATTCCCTGGTGTTAGGTTCATAGGGTTTTATCTCCCTTCCATAGAACAGTCTTTATCTTAATGAGGAATTGCAACACACAGTCCTATTGTAAAAAAAAAAAAAACAATGATGGGAGAAGCAGCTAATGAGGCTATCATGGTGACAGGAAGGAGCCATCTCTCCCCACAGGCCCCAGTGAACAGAAGAGGCTCTGCAGCAGACGTGGGGAGGCCGAAGACAGAGCTCACATTGATTGTGTAGGTTCAAGAGGCAGAGCCGGTGAAATGAAAGATGCCAACGCTCATCAGCCAAATTAGATCAAAGTGTAGGGTTCTGAACTGTCTGCAAACCAATTGTTTGGTTATTTGTGGGAGTGATTTTGTTGTGAGAAAGCAGCCGTGAGATTATATTGTTTGTTTTCCCAAAACCTCTGGGAAATTTTTTATGCATTTGAGCTTGATTGATCAGGCGTGATGTGGTGTTCACTGGTTCAACATTTCACTGGTGTATGTTTCCATTTATTTCAATGAGTTACTGCTGCATGCATATGGGATTACTATTATTATTATAAGCTATGTAAATGAACAAATCAACTGCTTATCTATTCAGAATTCATGTGAAATACCTGGTTCTGAAAAGAAAAGTTGATATAAAGTAGGAAGTGCATTTATTGTAGTGCTCCTCATCCTTTAGGCTCTTTGTAATTCATACAACAAAACTGCTCAGAATTTGGAGTCCGGCCACTATTTGGTTTATTGCCCTGTAGCTATGTGCGTGACAAATCAACAGACGTCTGCTGCAATTTGTTTGTGCCTCTGTACAATAGTTTTCCTTTTGGCTACTTGGACATTTAGAAAAGCTATGCCATATATTCTTTCCACCATACATCAGAGACTGAATCGAAGGTATATATAATATGTGGGGATTTACATTTCTACATTATGTCTAGTTTTTTTTTTGTTTTTTTTCTGCCTGGCAGACTCTCACCCATCATATCCACCTTCTTATGTGTGCAAAGCAGGAGCCCCATGAGGCATCCTTTGCCCCCTTCACCCCCTTCTCTGTTGGGGACTCTGTGTTAGCTGACATCTTGCCCCACCAGTCCCGCCTCCCTGTAGATGCCTATGCTCCCAGCTACCCTGCCTGTGTCCGCAGCTCCCGCTACAGGCACTATGCCAGCCAACCCTTTATAGAAGGTAGAATTTTACCATTTAGGCCCCATAACTACTTCTAAATCAAGTGTTTTCTTCATTTTCATATATGTTCATTTGTAACAATTTAGCTTTTGTCATTATCTATTATTTTAACTCTCATGTTTCAAAGCCATCAGTTCCATGCTTTGTAGATCTACTGTTGTGTGCTCAGGAGCAAAACTGTTTGCCCCTCATTAGCAGCACAGGCTCAGTCCCCCTTTTCACCCTGCTTTTCTCCAGCTCTGACCCTTTGCTTGTCTCTTGGGTTAACAATAGGCCTATAAGTCCTTCTAAGGGGGATGCAGAGGCATAGACATAGGGCTGGGGCCCTGTCCTGTGTGCCCCTTCATCTAGTCAGGCCTGATGCTGTCACTGTCAATTACAACACTAAATGTGGAGCAAAGATCAGAACACTCTCAATGGCCTGATGCTCCTGTCAGTTTTAAAGCTACAGTGGTTTATTAATATAAAAGTGACTTCAGTGTCTGATGATATGATTTCATGTAAATATCTTTCCTCTAGTTAACATGCAAATCTCCCTGTGGTACTGTAGACTGATATCCTGTCCAGGATGTACCCAGGATTTCACCCAGTGTTTGTTGGCATTGGCTCAAGTCCCCATAAACATTAATGGTCAACATGCAACTTATTCTAAAAGAATCTTGCTGACGAAATCTGATGTTTTGTGACAGATTTCTTATTATTTGTGACTATATGCATCACTGCACTTTGATATTATTGTGTTCTTAGCATGTGGAAAAGCACAAAAATACAATGACACTGTTATCATAATAACACTATAATCAATGATCAACCCTGCTTTCAGGAAATGACATGAATACTGTATACTGAAAATTTGCAACAGTGAATACAGTTTGATGGAAACTTACTGGCCTGATGCTTTTGTCAGTTCTTTTATTATGAATTTTGTATTGTCATTATTCACAGCATAATTAGGAAACTTTAATTAATGTATCTGGCAAGTTGCAAAATGTATTAGTAATAATATGTTCACTGATGTTCATCTCTACAATATCCACTTGTAGCAACTAAAGTGCGAGTAAACTTTTTTATGGCCATGTTAAAACAGTCGTATAACTTGGTTTAATTTAGGGAAGCATTATAGGGAAAGCCCATAATGACTCCAGGCACACAGCACAATAGTAAATGCCCTCATACTTCTATAGCACTTTTCTTCACATTGAATCGAACGCTTTACACTATTTCCCATTCACCTATTTGGACACACACACACAAATGCCCACACATTCACACATTGGTGGTATCACCAGGAGCAACTACGGATTCAGTGTCAACATGTGGACTGGAGGAGCTGGGGATCAAACCGCCAAGCCTATGGTTAGTGGATGGCCGGCCGGATCTACCTCCTAAGCCACAGCGGTCACCACAGCATGTTCACTTTCCTGCCACTTAACTAGAATCACGATATTTCTCAAACCGTAACCAAGGTGCAGGATTCAAAATGCAAACCCTGGTCTCTGGTGTCAAAATCCTGCACTGTGTGGCACCAAAATATTGCACTGCCTTCACTCAAAAAATTGTTCCTTGTCAACATAATCCAGACAGTGGTTACATGTACATGTACTATGTTATTAAAAATGTATGTTTACATATAATCATATATCTTCTTTGAGCATCCTTTTAACTGTTTTCCTCCTGTGTCCCTAACAGGTCGAGACATGGCCAGTACCACCTTACCTGGCTACCCGCCGCATGTCCCCCCCACAGGACAAGGCAGCTACCCCACCTCAACACTGGCTGGAATGGTTCCTGGTAGGTGACCTTTTTATGATGCCATTAATTTTACTTTCACATGTTATAGTCACCTTTAGTTGAAGTTCTTTAAAGAACTCGAGGTCACTGTAAGCTAAACACATAGCAAAGCATTTCTGTGGTGTCTGAAACATTTATACTAGAAACACATATGAACATTCACAATTGAGAAACTGAAGAACCCTTAAAGCATTGCTTTGGAATCAAATCACTGAAGAAACCTTGTTAGACTGCGGTTAGCGTGTGGTTAGCATCTGCAGACGAGGACATTAGATGAACTCGATAGGCGATCGCCACAATCAGTGGCCGTGAGATAGGACAGTTCCTCTCAGTTACACTCCAGCTCCCAGCGCTCATTACCCTCGCCATGTCCACACAGCACACTCTCACCAGCCCCGTCGATAAACATTGCTTTTGCTCCTCTCCTCGCCTCCCCGGCCACCCAGGGCTGCAGAGCGTATCTCTTTCTCCTCTACTTAACCTGCAGTTCAGGTTCACAGCAAACAGTTAAGGGTCAAAACACAGAGGCGTGGAGGGCCTGTAAATATTTAAATCACTATCTCTCTCAGGGATGAGCTTGAGTTACATGACCAGCAGTGAGGATGCTATAGCTGCAGGAATGTGTAGATCAACTAGAACAACTGAAAACACAATTGCCTTTACTGCTCGGAGCAATGTACCTTTCACACTGACCAATAATCAAAGCAGGCGTGCAGTATTTACAAGTGAACTCACTGTGAATCATGGGAACATTTTAAGATGGACATGGAAGCAAAAGCATGTATCCAAATTAAATTAAGAAATTCTGCTTTGCTTTATTGAATTATGCCACAAGAGCATGCTTTTGGATATCCTCACCCAAAAGCACACACAAGCTCACAAGCACAAAGGTTGTAGGTTTTTTCATCTGGTGGCAAATAACTAAGATTTAGAGACAGGCCCCAAACACTGTTAAAGCAAAGGCCATTCTTCAGTTGCTTCATATAAAACCCAGTCTTTATAGTCTCATAAAAGAAAGAAACCTGTGGGCCCACTGCTTCACCCTCTGACACCCCCTCAGTCTCCTGTGCTCTACACCACGACCTGCATTAGAGAACAAAGACAGAATGAAAGTCTCAGAGAACCTATTAGGAAGTTTTAAAACCAAGCATCATCGCTTAAAAAAGTTCTGAAGTCCTCACTTAACGAATGAATAGAGGAACAATCACTGCACCTGAAGGGGTTGTGGAGAAAAGTGAAACAAGCAGCCAGGACCAAAATTCACATTGTTATTAGACAAAACTGTAATTTAAATGTGGAACGTGAATATTTTCTAAAAGCTGTCAGTCATTTCTGTTTGTTAGCTCTTTGCTAATGTTCACTTTTACTCATTTGCTCTCTAGGAGGGGACTTTTCTGGAAACCCTTACTCTCATCCACAATACACCACTTACAACGAAGCATGGCGGGTCAGCAATCCAGCATTACTAAGTAAGCGACTTTGTCTTAATAAAACATACTGTACAGTGTTCAGTAATAAAAATCTCCAGGCTCCATGCATTCACTGTCCTTGGAGCTTTACGTCTCACATGATGTTTGACTTCATGGTTTCCAACGGCTCGTTCTTCTGTTAACTTTCAGGTTCCCCTTATTATTATAGTGCCGCATCCCGTGGCTCCGCCCCCCCCACTGCTGCCACTGCCTACGACCGCCCCCCCCCCCCCCCCCCCCGCCACTAGTTACCATGGAGACCAGCTCAAACTGCAGGGCCAGGGCTTCGGCCTCCATATTGTCCCCGTCTGAGAAACACTGAGGTCAAAGGGCAGTGAGGTGGAATTCCAAAGGAAACCCTGGGATGCTCTGTGATGTGAAGGAAGGATCAGCGAGGTCGACACCGGTGCATCAAGCACAGCTTCAGCGTTTCATACTTTGGGTCAAAAAGGCCCGCGGGCTTTCAGAACCTACCCATTATGCCCTCACTCTCTCACAGGCCTGAACATTTCGAGAACTGACTTTAAGAGATTATATAAATATATATATTATAAAATATAAATTGAAGAAAAACAGTGTGATGAATACCATGTGGAAAAGATGTTGTGGGATTTTATTTTTGTTTTTTGTTGCTGTTGTTGTTGTTGTTATTTTATTCATGGATCCTCACATTCCTTTACATAATGGACTGCAGTATTTTTCTGCTCTAAAGAGAAAAGTCCAGGGGAGACAATGGTCCCATAGCTTGATGATGCAGCAACTTGAATCAGTGTTGTGGGGCCCCTCTGATATTTAATGAGATCCTGGCTCCATAGTGAAGGGTGGGCTTTATTCTGGTGCTTTGACTACATCTTCTGCTCTCATTTCTCCAGTCCCACCTACAGTATCAGACAAAGACGACATGTCCCATGGCATTTACTGACACTAAATAGACTGATTCCCTGTGGCAAACAATCAGATGTAAAAATGTAAATCATTTTTCAAAGAATTAAAAATTGTAATGACCATGAACTCAAAATGGTCTTGCCAGAATTTTGAATACTTAAATTACTTACCTAAATTATTTTTTCTGACAGTTTTAATCTATAAGAAAGATTTTTCAGAAGAGTTGTCACAGTTTACTCATTTTCCAGTCATGTCCATGCCCATGCATGATTATTATTTGCACTATAATCTCATTTTATTTGATTTATTCGGTACATTCACTTAAAGTTAAGTCTAATTAATCCACCAAGTTAAAATATAAGTTAAAAATAATTGTTTTAGATGTATAAACAAAAGGCAGAGAGGCATGCTTTTGAGTGAATATCATTTTAAGAGTAAAAGTGATATGTTCACAATTCTGAAGACATTGTAAGTCATAGCTCTTTGGCTACATGAACAAATTTCAATTCTCCTGGGTTGTACATCATTCAGCTACTTAGTCATACCACTAGATGCCTACACAGTTTAGAAAGCTGCACACAGTTGGGAAAACCAACTGTAAATTAGCTTCAACAATTGCCTTACAAACATGTATTTTTTTTTCCAACCTAAATTCATGCCTGTTCAATAAAGTTGACTACCTTTACAAGCACATGTTCACTCCCCTCCTTGAGTTATGTTCAACTCTCCATAGGGCCTGAAACGATACACTGATTCAGTTCAGTTTTTTGGAAAATATTTTGTGAATGTACTTTTAACTACATTTGCCAAAGACTTAGTTTGATATTTAATATTTTATTTACAGTATATGTATGCATAAATAAAGCAGTATTATCTCTTAAGTAGTCAACACTGAACATGTATGTTGTGACTTTTCAACAGGCGAGCAACATGATGCTCATGACTGTAATGAAAAAGGTGATATTCAGTGACTCAATATTCCAACAGTTGCAACAAATGCTGCTTTGTAGAATGATTTGTGAATAAATGTGAAGACAATTCTTCTCTGTAAATAATATCACACACACCATTGCAGTATCTACTAACGTACTGGCTCCCTTTGTAGATATACAGACTGAAAAAAAACATGCATTACATTTGCATCTTAATGTAATGTGTTCTGAGGAGATGCACAGCTACTGTATAACCTGTGGCTACATCAGAGGCAGGTTTCTGACGCTAACATCACATAAGTTGTCTTTGTCATTTTATTTTATGTCCATGATCTTGTCATGATGATGTTTTATGTCACTATGCAATGAGTTAAATGGCTTTCTGTATCATCTTTTGTTGTTGGGCTCAGAATGAGCAATCCCAGTGGAGAACAGCATAAAGGTTAGAAAGTACATAAGATGTAAAATGGTTTCTCTCTGGTTTCACTTTTGTTCCAAAAATTCCCTCAAACAAATATGTGATCAAACTGAAGTTCTTGGCAACAATCAAAGATATTGTCCTGTTTGTTGTTAGTAGATGTCGTGATCATTATGTTAACTCAAATTAGTCCTCTGTGCCTCCATGTATAAAAACACATCAACACTTATTCCCGGCTGCCCATCTCTCCTCCCTCTCTCCACGCTGCTCTTTTCTCACTCCCTCCACTCTCTCAGCACCGTGACCAATACAACTCTTTAGCATAAGGCATCCAAGATGAAATTTACTTTAATTCTACACAAGTAAATACATCTTCTGGTACCAGGGTTAACTGTCATTGCTGAGGGCACCAGAAAACATAGAGTCAGTCTGCAGTCCTGCTCTTCAACACAAGCTATTCTCTACAAATTGCACTTGGGATTTGTCTATTGCTGTCTACTTGTAGCTCAACATATCTGAAAATGAAACGCTGGTGCAGAGTGCAGTTGGAGCCTTTGCTTTAGGAAGTGGAGCACCTCTGAAGGAATGAGTCTTCTGCTGTTGTAAAGATGATACAGGAGATGTGTCATGGACATAAAAAGGATTTCTGATGAAAATCTATACGGAAAGCCTTGTGGCCTCAATCATTGTTCTGTCTCAGTTCTGTTCCAATTCTTTTTGTGCACATGAGAAATAAATTCTTTTATATGTCAGCTGTTGACTCGGCGCCCCCTCATTATTAACCTCATAAGAAAATATTTCAGAGTTCAAGGTTCCTAGGGAGCATTCCTTCTGCTGGTGTATTGATGTTTGGTTTTATGAACAGTCAAGAATTACTTGACATCTGCACAACATATTGTTCGCATGTATCAGTGTGTGGATGCCTGTAGAAATCATGTACATTATGATTCCTGTTAAAATAGCTTAGTGTACAACAACAACAACAAAAACTGCATTATGTTAACAATCTGTTCCCCTCTGTCTTCTACATAATGTAGAAGACAGAGGGGAAAAAGGAGAAGGAAAAAAGAATAGGGTGAAACAAAGAAGAACGGTTGGGAAAGCAGGAGAGCTTTGCCCCAGCTTCTGACTCCAGTATATTTAATGATGCTTTGGTTTCATCCTGCTATATGACACTGCTGCTCTCTGCACTCTGTATTCTGAAACACACAAACCCAGCCAGTTGTAATTCAATTTCTCTGCTTCCTCTGCCTATTGTTTATTTCATGGATCCCCTGTGAAGCATCAAAAGCTGCTGTTTCTGTCAGCCTCTAACTGTCCTATGTGTTTGTCATTCAGGCCTTGTTAAAAGATTTAAAAAAAAAAAACTGCCACACATACACACTAGCACTCCCTCCTCTCCCAGCTGAAAATTCCCAGTGGTAAAATTATTCCATTTAGACGGGAACTTTTTTGTCACTACCCTGTCTAAATTGGCATATCTGGCTCTCTCGCAGAAACCAATAAACTGTGAACCCGGATGCATCTGTCAGTCAAGCTCATCTTTACTTTAGCGGACCAGATGACAACAACAGGAGAAGAGACACACACCAGCAGAATGGGGCGCACTGATTGGCTCTCATCAGTTAGGCATTACGAAAAGCACCTGTCATCCTTGGGGCTTCTCAGACTGACACAGAGAGGCCCTGCCATGGGGGCCAAAAGGCCTCGCACAAGATTTACTCAAACACTTCACCCTCATTGTCAACTTGGTATGGTGATGCCCTACAGCTAGGCCTTTTTGGCATGACTCATATCTGTCACTATTAATTTATACACTGAAATAAGTCCATTTTAACAAGCTGGTAGCTGTATACAGTCTGAAGAAATTCCTTGCAAATTTTAAAGTGTGTTTCAGGTATAGACATAATGTATTTATATATATAAGCGATATAACCACATGGGCTAAGGATTACTTTGGCACACCTGTGTCAAGCACACATACATAGGTACATCCATAAATGTCACTTAAAACTGTACTGTGCCACAAGGAAGCATTATGTCAACAGTGTCCAGAAGCGCAGTTGACTGCTCTGGGCTCAGAGGCATCCAGGAAGGACCATCAACACGGTGAAAATGTATTGTGTTCAGATGAATCAGTATTTCAGGTCTTTTTTGGAAGGAATGGATGCCATGTGCTCCGGACCAAGAACAAAACAACCATCCAGACTATTGCCAGCAACAAGTCAAAAAGCAAGGGTCTGTATTGGTCTGGGGTGGTGTCAGTGCCCTTGGCAAAGGAAACTTATACTTCTGAGATGGCTCCATTAATGCTGAAAAAAGGTGCGGAGCGT